GAATACAGTGGTCGAACTTACATCTTTCACGAATGCTAAGTCAAGAAGACATAGTTGATATTGTCAATAATGCAAAGTTAAGAATTCATTTTCGTTAAGGAAAGTTTGAATGGTGTCTGATGTGAAATAAAGTTTGAAAAGTAAACTATCAATATCTCTACTTTGTAATTAGTACATTGACTTTTTGATTTTAGTAAGGTTTATTTTGTAATTGTGTAATGTTGAAATATGTCATCGTAAAGTCGACGCCTTGTTTTCAAGTTTGACTTTGTGAATACTTTTGGCAACGACCCCCCTCTATAAGAATTAGCCACCATTGATGTTATGTGAAATGTCATTGATATTTTGTTTAATATCTTTCACGATAGCTATCATAATTATATCCATTATAAATTTCGATAATCGAATCACACAATAGTTCTCATCGCCGATGTCGTTCATTTTCTTCAATTAATCTGAATAAATAAAATAAATGTGGAGGTACAAGTGGGGTTGCAAACCATTTTTGTGGCACCGCCACTCATTTAAGCCCTCTTGATGCAGTGATGCAGGTAAGCGGGGCTGACATGGTGGAAATAGATAAAGAGTAGGCTAATGCCGTTGTCCTGGCAATATTTGACTCATTGCACGCTGCATGTCGTTGCCGGTCTTCATGGGGCAGAAACATAGGACGTAAAACTCCATTCATTTCCTTTTTTTCCTTGATACCTGTTTAAATAAGTGTGATTCTTCTCTTACAGTCGTATTGATGTTACTGGTAGTCCTGATAAACCTTTTTTGACGATGGTATAAAATAGCACAACTTTCTTTATATAAGAAATTGTGTATCTACAGATTGTAAAGAACAGATTGATATTTTTCCAACGTATGTCGCTGATTTGTATCGGTGCAATTCTATTTTAACAGTGTGTACGGAGCCCCTAAGGCGCAATTGTAAACATATTTATTTATTATTTCGTTTAAACGAAATAATTAATTCGTTTAAACGAAATAACATCGTTTAAACGAAATAATTAATTCGTTTAATCGAAATAATTATTTCGTTTAAACGAAATATTATTTCGTTTAAACGAAATATTATTTCGTTTAAACGAAATAACTGATGTTATTTCGTTTAAACGAAATAATAAATAAATATGTTTACAATTGCGCNTTAGGGGCTCCGTAAGTGTGTAATCTTAATTAACTTTCCTTACAACTACACTAAACACTACTAATACAGGAAATGAAAGTTATTCGTATTTTACAAAACAAATATAAAAATTTTCATGTCCCCATATGGTTCTCTTGTGATGACAATTTTTTTATTCGAAAATTGTATACGCTCTAATTTAGATATATTTAATAAGAATGGGGAAATTCTTCTTTTAATAATTTACATTAATTTTAATTAATTCATAATTAGCTAAATCAGAAGAGAATTACCAGCAGAATTCCAATGAGTGACCGATCAAGAAAGGTCAAAAAATATTTATTTTTTTGTTTATCTAGACTGTACATACATGGTCATATAAGGATTCAACACCGAATTTCGTCAAAATTTTTATGTCTTAGATGTTTCTTCAGGTATTCTATAAAATGATTAGAATTGGTTTGTTTCGATTTTCTTTATGAAGCCTTCACCTTGACCCATATTTCACGAGTAACCAACTCGACAGCGGCTGCAAAATACGTTATCTATTTTCGTTTACAATGTTTGATCTTTAAAGTCGAAAAATACACTTTGGATAGATACCCAGTGGTATAATTAACTTTTCTTAGAATTTATCTTTAATAATATTTCATTATAACTAATGACAATTTCTTTGAAGATCAGTGATTCAAAAAAACAATAGTGACTGACAAAATAAAATAAGTAAAACGTAAGAGTGATTTATTGCTAAAATTCATTGAAACAACATAAGAATATGGCCCACATTGTGTTCCATGAAATTTTTCTATCGACACGGAATCCGCTAGTTTGTCACATGACTTCGTTGATATATATTCTAGCAGACAAAACTACTGGAAGCGAACGTTAACCAACTACTGGATCCATTCTGCTAGCTGACATTGTACAGACAACCCATGTTAATCAAAAAAACAAAAACAAGTGCGGAG